GCAACAAATAAAGAAAAATATATTATTCTAAGATACTTTAAAAAATTTCTAATTACTGTAGAATATGAGCTGTAAGGTATATACATAATATAAATTATTTCTGTCTAATATATTGGGTTGTATATATTTTATTTTATACAAAAAATTCAGAAATTTGTATTTAATGTCGTAGAAAAACAAATATCCAACCGCTATTCAGAAATGAAAATCTCAATGCTAAACACAGGAAGCTGATATATAACCAAATAATTCGTCCGTCACTTCTATATGGATGTGTACCGTTTAGCAAAGCTTCAAACACTACTATACACTACTAGTCATTCGTACATTAGGATGAATGACATTCTGAGAGACCCCAAGATTGATCCCATCAAAAAATACATAAAGGATAGAACCCTGAAATTATTTGCGAAAACTGACAGACTTACCAACATGGTGTTATTGAATCTCAGAATGGTTACAGGCTTCTCTGTGAGATATACAGATCTTAGGTCAATTATTGTTAGTTTTAATCTAGTCAAGGCGTAAAGAGGGGGTTTGAATATACCTTGAGTTAAGAAAGAGTAAAAGTGCTCAAGTGCACTGGCTCAAATAGCTTCAACATAAATAATATTTTATAATATTTATATTTATTTAAAATATTTATTGGAAAATATTTGATTTACTGAAATTTTCATTCAAATTTTTAACTCACACAAATAAATAAATAATATTGATAGGCATTTAACCGATTTTATTTATATCACTAATTACCTAACACCTATAAAGCAATTAGTAATAAATATATTTTCCGTGACATGAACCAATTTGTCTTGACTAAATTTAAATGCAACAACACGTCTTAGCTGTCAAAAAGAAGAACCATAAATTTGAGTGATTTCATGAATTTTTATACCAATACCCATAAAATACTTCAATCTTTAAATAAATTGAATGAAATGTGAATTTAAATTTATGTATACATATATGCACTTTGTACATATTTACACATATATGTGTATATCTCAATATATATATTTATATGTACTGGAATAAATATTACCAATATAAGTTTTATGATCTCTTTGTTTAGAAATAAAATATAGAGTCAACTTATGAAGCAGTCAAAAACCATACAAGATCACTTCAGATGAGTCAGCATTTTCCATAAATGAAAGGTAAACATTAACAGAAGAGCACTTGCTAATGATCGTGTTCTAGAAATTTTAACAATTTCGTAAATAAAATGGATAAAGATATTTAAAAAAAAATTGGGATAATATATATACGAATGAAGTGTACTACTTAAATTCAGTAAATATGCCAACAAATAAAAACGATATATAAATTACACTACATTCGGTATATTGCGACTTGAAGTTCATTTCGAAGTACACACTTTAAAATAAGCAAAAGTCCAACTGCTACGTAACAGCACTATAAAAGGTGAAGAAGTACCTAAGAAATGAACTGTCAATCAAAATCAAAGTACTAGTGTACGGCATCAATAAAGTGGGAAAAGAATATTATAAGAAATTGAAAAAATATATAATTTACGAAAAAAATATCGTTGACAACATGCAAATAGTTGTTGAGTTCTTTATTAATCATAACTGCCGTAGTTATTGAAAGGTCGATGATATCTCACATTTACTTTGTTATTGTTCTATTACACAATTTATTGATCAAGCTTTTACTGACTCAAAATTCATTCGTTTGTTTGTTAGTCACTAGTTTATACTGGCATATTTACTAGTACTGACATTTTTGTTGGTTACTAAGAATCACAACGGTAAGATTAATTTTTACTCTAGTAAATATTGAAGATAGTGGTATTCAAATCAAGCTACATTAACAGTGAATGTTACATTTTCTACTAGGGAAGAATGATTTTTAATAAATCGGATGTTTAAACAATCCTGACGTAGATATTAAGCGTTTTTATACCACCAAAGGTCTCTGAGATTCCGACGAATATAAAGCTTAAAATCAAATTTTTCAAATAAATTACAAGTGAATTAAATATGATGATTGTTCTTCCTCTTAAATTGTTTTATAATATACACACTTGTATAAAAATTATATTTTCTTCATAAATATTAATCTAATAATTTTAATTATAATCTGTAGAGAGGTTTCAAACTGTATTGAACTACAACAACAAAAATTATTTTCATATTATTTTAATTAATTAAATTTTTTGCTGTTGCGAGTATTGCCAAATACCCATCAGCAGTTGTCTTGGAATTATTTCTTACTATAATATATATTTAATTATATTTATTTCTGCATAATTAATTTATTAGTTATAGAACTTATATACTTGAAATCAATTAAAAAAAGTAATCAAAGAAAAAATAAGTGTTTATTTAGAAATCATTATTTCTTGCACTCTATTACTTCCATTTGTGTTAAAAGTATTGAATCACATTTGCCAAACCACTACTCATATGTGATAATATGTGATGAGTTAAACATGCCCACCAAAATTATAGCGCATATAATTATTGCTTTTGTTGTGTCAGGTATTTTAGCTTGAATATAATGAGTACGCATTGTACGATGAACACATTTGAATACATGCGTGCCTACTTGAAGCTCATCAATTGGTTCTTTTAGTGAACTTCATTGTTACTCAATGAATACTTGTCTTCGAAAATCTGTTTTCATTATTCAGAAAACATACATATACGATATATATATATATATATATATATTGTAGTATATAATTTTCTGTAGCTGTTGCTTTTACTGTTTGGTTGCTTCAAGATGTTTCAATAATTGTGACTGTGGGCAATATGCGTCCACATGTTTTGCACAAATTATGATCATCACAAAATTACATAAAACGGAAACTTAAGGAAATATCTTTATGCCATAAAAATGGAAATACATATTTTTTTATAAAATCTCTTACTTGCTATCGCTACCATTCCCGCTTTTACACCCGATGTTGCTTGTTTTGTTTTGTGTTGCTGGTATTTATGTTGTTGCAACTCATGCAGTTGCAGGCGTGCAAGACATAAACTATTTTTATGTAGCATTTCTGACGTGCAAATATGCATTTTTCACTACTAATCCCGCGTTAGGACTGAGTTATGTGCTGTTTTTATTACTTCTCGCTGAATTTCTTATGAAGAGAATTTCAGAAATTGTTGAGCATATTTAAAAAATATTTGTATTGAAATGCTAGAAGGAATTATGCATAATAAATTTTCAGCAATAAAATTTGTTTATTTTAAGACAAATTTCAAGAATTAAGTTATCTCTCATTCAGTTGATTTCGTACTTCTGGTACGGGTACTTAGCAAAATGGTTTCATATTCGCACTAAAACCAAAGAACATTTCATTTCGTTCTTAAATTAGATACGTGTGGGACGTTTTATTAAGGGACGCTTGGCTATTATCCTATGAAACAATTGTATATATACAAAATTAAGCAAATATAGCAACGATAACAAATAAAAGTTATCAGTAATAATCTAATGAATTAGCTTAGTTTAAGATATCTTCAAACTTAATGTATTTTCTCAGAAAAATAAAGCTTAATAGCTTATTTACTTGAAATTTATTTCTTGCTAACTTATCAGCTCTTAAATTATAAATAACATTGAAAATATTTAACGGAAAATTACCCAGCAAACGGCACTTTTATTCGCCATATATTATTTCTTACACTTTTCGTCGTTTTTGCTGTTAAAAACACTATGGGACACTAAACACTATTCTTCTATATTTTAAAGACTTTTTATTTCTTGCTAACTTATCAGCCCTTAAGTTATAAATAACATCGAAAATATTTATATGGAAAATTCCCAAGCAAACGGCACTTTTATTCGCCATTTATTATTTCTTACACTTTTTGTAGTATTTGCCGTTAATAATACAACGGGACACTAAACACTCTTGTTCTATACTTTAAAGATTTCAGGTTAATATGAGATTTTTGTACAAATCTGCAACTCATTTTGCTCCTAGGCAATTGGGTTTTTAGCAATAATGGGTTAAAGTTAAAAAACTGGGAATTTTTTATTAACCCTTTAAAAACGATTTTTGTATTGAAAAATGCGATTTTCTTGTCCTTAGCAAACTTTATAAATATTTTTACTTTAAAATTCATTGCTAAATTCCTGTCCTTCTTTATAAATGAAGTGATTTTTCTAATATTTCCCAATATTATCCAGTAGAAACAGAACTGTTTTTTAAAAATTATTTAAAAATTCTCCCCAATTGAGAGGGAATGAAGGAAATTTTGGGTAGGATGACTAAAGCAACATTTTTTATGAATTTATTCATAGCAAATTTGCTTAAGATAATAAACTCGTAACTGTTATAATAAACATTTTTTTTAACTCAATTCCAATTTTTTAACTTCATTTATTTATAATTTTAAATTTATTTATTTATTGCTTAGATTTAATTAATTTATTATATTTGTACATTATTTTATTTAAAATATTTCTGTATTCTTATTTTTTTTATATATTCTTTTATTTTCATTTATTTTAGTATCTAGTTACTGCATTTATTTTCAGTGTTAATTTTATTTTTCTTATTTAATTAATATTTTATTTTGTATTATTAATACATTAATTTTTATTTTTTATTTACTGTTAAGAGTCTTATTACCTGTGACAAAAACTCCATTGCAAATAGAAAGGATATTTTTTATGTTATATGTAATGTTTCTACTGCAGCTTAAATAACATTTAGTAATCAAATTAAGATTTGGTCGTTTCCATTGGCATAAGTTAATTATAGCATGTGAAAGAAAGTTCTGCTTAAAAATAGTAAACACAAATTTTTCCATCTTGCCTATATATATGTGTTATTTTTATGATTATATTATTATTTATATATTATTATTATTAATAATTTTAATTTAATTTTAAACTTAATTAAGAACAAGAAACTGCACTACTAGGTCCTTCCCTCTATGTTTTATAATTATATGTTATTATATAGGCTTCTATATATATTTGTTTTGACATATTATATCCGGTAATTAGGTTAAAATAACCTAACGTATTTGACATAACTAATTAATTAATTATGGTTTTATTATATTTTAAATTATTTTTTTCTATTAGCAATGTTTTTATTGTGTTGCAAAGTCCAATGTTAGTTATTTGAAGAGTCTTGAAACTTACCGTCAAAGTTGCCGACCAAGAAGTCTCGCCACTTTCCGAAGAAGCAGTGCATGTATAAAGTCCACTATCGTTCACTTGCAAATCTGCAACGGATTCAATATAAAAATTATTTAACACATTCTTAATACTCGTAGTTTCTTAGTTATAGGCTTCATATATTATATTACCAAATTATGCTTTACACTTACCGTCAATTCTAAGTGAGCCACCCTGTACGATTGTATAACGATTGCCATTTTGCAGAGTTGTACCATCTCTGTACCACTTTACACGTGGTGTTGGATTCCCTGAAGCTCGACATGGCAACATAGCAACACTGCCTTTAGGCAATGTTTGATTTGATGGGCCGATTTGTATGATGGGTGGTGGCGTATCCTCAACTGATGTAACCTAGGGTAACAATTGATATGGTTTTTTCGTTCAGTTTTGTTATTGCATTACCATAAATCAATTTTTATAAGCATGAATCGAAACATTTAACGATAAAAATTTGAGTTGGGTTCAAAGGAAAAACAATTCCTACACAAGTTGTTTTATTGTAAATATTTTCATTGTATTTGTTGGGTTTGAAAATGTTGGGGTATATGTGACAGGAATGGGTTAAAAAAAGAAAACGTACTAAAAACTGGTATTAAGTTCTGATATCAAGTGAGTTGATAAAAAAATTTGTAAAAGTAATGTTTCAATTATCGATGTTCATGTTTATGCATATTTAAAAACAAATTTTTGTCAGTAAAAACTATGAACGTGTCAGGACATACATCAGTTTTTGAATATGAAATATAACAATGCAATTTGAATGGGATTACAATGTATATATTAGTGAATTGTTTAATTTAGATATAAGCAGTTTAGTAGAGTTTTTTAAAAATAACTGTAAATATAAAATATCTATAGAAAACATATCAAAAAATTACTTATGCAGAATATACAGTAGTGCCATGAATTTAAATAGCATTAATGTTTAAAGAGTTTTTAGAAAAATTTAGATATAGTCAGATAAGCATACTAAAATTGTTTAAATCTTATATGAGTAAAGAAAACTATTTCACTAATTAAAAGGATTTGGGAATATAACATAGTTAATGACAAAATAATTTGTTTATAATTAATTAAAATTTTATTTGACAATACATTTATTTTGTTTATTGCTAAATACTCATCAGTATTGGTCTTTGGAGAAAGAATAATACAAGAGTTTTAACAATTAAAAAAATTATAACAGTTAAATACAATTTCCATAAGCTGTGTCTTTTAAGCTTGCTCTTAATTAGAATCACGATAGGCGTTTGAGTTATCTTCTGAGAAATCAGAAAGTAAAACCTGAAGTAAAACCCGAAATTTAACAGTTTTCTACAGCTTCTGCTAGATCGGTTAAAACATGCGAAGTCATTGCTTCTAATATATATAGGTTGAAACTTCTAAACCCGGCACTGGTAATATTTTAAGTATATAAGGAATTACAAAATTAACGAATGTTCTCAAAGATCACTGATGAATATATTAGCTATTAATTGTTCAGAAATACTTCTGTAGAAACTCTTCTAAGTAAGATAGTTATCTTCCGTAAAAATTGCTTTAAAAATTTTTATTTAAACCAATTCAAAAACACTTAATTGCATCACATTTTTTTTGGTCCATTCATTTTATTTAATAATTAGATTCAGTTAAAACCCAATTATTAATGACAATAATAATGGTGCTTATTTTATGTATAAACCACAACATAAATAATTTTAGTTCACTATTTTGTTCTGATATATCTATTTTTAATAAAAAATTCTGTAGTTTAAATAGTCAAAAAATTGACTCCATAACAATATATTTCTTTAAGAATTTATTTGTTCCAATAGCATTGAAAAAATATATTAACATCCCTGTATTTTGATATGAAATTTTCTTTAATATTTATTTAACATTCTATGGTCTGTCCACAATATAATATGACAAAGTAACCAATAGTAACCAAATAATAAAAATAAAACAAAAAAAAGTAATAAATCACATAAGGATACAACTTACTTGAAGATATGCTCTTATGGTTGATGAGTCCACTACACTGATGGCCGAACAAATGTAGTAGCCGGCATCTTCCTTTTGGACACCATTTATTTGTAATGTACCATCTTTGGACACATGCAAATGACCATATAAATTGTTGGGAAACATTAAAGTTGAGGACCCTTCCTTTGTCCAAAACACTGAAGGTGGTGGATTGCCATCGGCAACGCAAGCAAATTGCGCAACACCATTGAGACCAACCTTTTTATCCTGTGGCTTAACAGTGTAGACCGGTGGAGCTGCAGGAATTCGCATAAAACAAAGAAAAAAAATAAATAAATAAATTTATTACATACTTTTATGAATTTTATCAAATTGTCAAAGGATGCGAAATACCATAAACAAAGCTTTTGTCTTCTTGAGCACACAAAAAGGTACAATGAATAAAGTATGTTGAAATTTAATAAAATGAAATTAAATTAAATTATTTGCTGCTCATATACATTAAACAAAAGAAAATTTAATTAACTTTAAAAAAAAGTTAATTTAATTTTTTTTTTCGTTCTTTTCACAATTCTTGAAATTCCTGTTATTCTAATTAATTAGGTTCTACAACCAACTTACCGTGTACTGTAAGTGAGGCGCGTGCACTTATTTGCCCAACAAGGTTGTGCGCCTCACAGACGTAGGTACCCTCGTCGGCAGGTGTTATGTCGGTAATTTCAAGGCTTTTGTCGTCATGTTGTATGCGTGCGCGTGATACCGGTATGTTGCCTTCTTCCTTCTTCCAGAGAATTTTCGGTGGCGGATCACCGCCAACCAAACAATGAAATTGCACAGTGTTTCCAGATAAAATGGTGAGATCTTGTGGTTCCTTCATGAAGTAAGGCTTCACTGTAATTAATTAAGAACGTTGACAATTTAATTAGTATTAATCCAGGGCTTTTGTATAAAAAATGTTTTGTTTTAAGTATAATAAACCAAACAATTTAATGGAGTGTTATTAATTTTATATAAATTAATGTAAAACTATTAAATTGAAATAATTGCAAAAAAAAATAAATAAAATAATGAAATGAAAAAGTTATACTACTTGTTTTTCAGTGTTGTTCAGAAACTTTCCCTATAATAACTTAAATTTTAATTTTTGCACTGAAGTGTCATACACTTCTCCAGTTCCTTACCTGCTTCACTACCTAAGTGGACAATTGGTAAGAAAATCCGCAATGCCACTTCAGTAATACGTAATGAACATAGCAACTGCAACATTTATTGTAGTTTTACGAGTGCTTCCTGAACACCCAAGTACATTTTTATGACAAAACAAGAAGGGAAAAGAGAAATTTTATAAACAAGAAAAATAGAGTTTTTGTCGAGTGAAGCTTGGAAAAAGTTAAGAAAAACTATTTACCAAAAGTTCTTAGTACTTGTTCACAAGTTTATCAAAACTTTGTACTGTTTTATGCTCCCGGGTTTCGCTACTTAGTACTTCTTATATAAAATTTTAGATTTTGTTGTCTTTTTAGTTTAAAGAATTTTTTTCTTTTAGTCAATAGGTAGTAATACAGTAATTAATTGTAGTTTAGAACAGAGTAATTACAAATTTACGAGAGTTTATTATGTGTACTACAAGGATGACCAGGACGAAGTTCGTACAGCATTTACAAATGAAGTGTTTAAGGACAAGGAAAAAAACCAAAGTTTTATAAAGCTTAATGAAATGTATTATAGATTTAAGTAATATTATCTTTACAATGACTATATATTTTACATAAATATTGACATATAAATATGTTTAGTAAAAGTATTAATATTAAAAAACAGTTCATTATTATTACAATTATTTAAAACTTTTTGTTAGGTAAGTTCATAGAAATGGAAATTTTTATTAATTACAAACACGGTTGCCACTTGAAAATTTTTTTCTGTACCAAAATTGGTTTAAAAAGGTACCATTTCTGTAAAAAAATGTCCAAA